CAGTTTTACAGTCAAGATAGGAAATTACGAAAACATCGTGCTTCAAGATACTATTATTATTGTTGAGTAGCAGTGCGATTCAGCATACATGTTTTTGTTTGTATATAAGACAACTACTCAGGCAAATATGTGATTTATTCTAACCCTACTGTTGGTTTTTGTTAACTGTAACTTGTATTCGGCGTTGGTCTTTACAGATTTAACAGTGTTATCCAATTAACTCCTACGATCACAACCTTGTTTGATGGCTTTTGTGTGTTTTATACACAACCAACCACTGTTCACGATTGGTTTATAATTTTAAAAAAATCATTTATACAGGGACTCGTAAAATGGATGTGCTCCCATCCTAGAGTTGGTGTCCACTCCGGGGTTCGAACCCAATAGCATTCTCTTCAAACGTCAATATGTTATCCGCTTCCACTCGGTTACTGAGCCCAAATAGCAACTTACTTTTGCAACGAGTATGAATTTTAATTTGATTCGTAATGGTCTTAATGATCCTGTTATTTATATTTTGACTGAATTTCGGTCAGTCAAATAAATTACTTAGTGAACATCAACTCTGGGAAGTAGCCACATCCAACTGACAAGCCTCAAGTGGGTGGAGACGCACGTTGTGGACTCCACTGTTGGACATACTCCATTTTATTTTATGTATAATTAAGAGCATTGCTTCTCAATATATATAAATATATATATATATATATATATATATATATATATATATATATATATATAGACAAGTTATCGAATTCCTTTGAAATTGGCACTTGACTAATAAATCATTCACTATTTGACAATACTACAATAGCTTATTGTTCAATGAATCAATTAATATATAGTAACTAATTTCTTATTGCTATCATATCGAATTATGTTGTTTTCATGTTCATTCGCTGCATGTAAACGATGATTTAAGTCATCAAGTACAGATTCTTGTACTTGGGCTTGAACCACACCTTGTTTTAGTGCTATTGGTACTACCCCGATTAATAAACCAACGTAGATGGAACGGGAATCCAATCTGTTATTAAACAATTTAAACTCGGACGTCTTAACCATTAAGTCATTATTGTTTGTCGTTGATTGTCGTTGTCAATTTACGCTGTCCATAGTATAAAATGTTTGCATCAATAATTCCACTGTTGATCTATGCCTCGTTTTATTAATGATAATGATGATCATAGTAACAATACAGTTAATTTATCAAGTACAGGCTTTATGCACTCGATTTTAAACTTCATTTTAATGGATCAACTCAACTCCTTAAACTAAAATACATATAACAGAGTTCGTGTTTAAAATTATAAATTAAAAGCTAAATGCTTCATTTAATTAATCAATTAATTACTTCACTGCACTACGTTTTTACATTTAGAAGTATATGTAATTGACAATTTAACACATATCATTACCGCGCTATTAACAAACTGTTTATTCTAAACTGAAATAATGTTGTTTTTTTTTTTCAATTTATAGTATTATATGTTTTATACGCGTTGAAGCCTGGTTGTATAGTAATTTTTCTCTACAAAAAATGATAATTTGAAGTGCATAATTTATTCATTCACCCACTTACTTATTCGTACATTGATTTGTTCATTTGTTATGTATGAATTTCATGATATGAGTAGTGTCATCAAGGATTATTTATCATTATTATCATTATTATTACTACCCTTTTTTCATTTAGTAGATACATAGCTACGATAGTAATAATATTATACCTGGTTTAACATGTTTTTCACTGTTTATTATATTGTATTTCATATATATATATATATAAACGTGTGTATTTGCATTTATTTGCCATTGAAATGGTTTTTTTGGTAGAATAGATAGACTGTGGTTAGCAGTGGAATCAAACCGTTACAAATCCGAATAAATTCATTCTCGTTCAGTAGCCAAGTGAATAATGCGTATTGGGGGTTTTCAGCCTAAGTTATTGGGTTCGAGTCCCTCAGTGTAAACATCAATATATTAAGATGTAGGTGCATCCAACTGATGAGTTTCAAATTAGACGAAAATTTAATCTTAGCTTCCACTACTACCCACAATTAATCTATTTAGTAAAATTATGCTACATATCGGCGGGATCCGCAAAAGATGCACATTTATCATTTAAGATTTCTCGAAATTCATTCAAGATTATAAAAATGAGGTAATTTAAATCACTCAGTCAGTCAAAACGTAGTACTTCGTACATACTTGCATCAGTTCGAGTTGCCATACCACATTAGCACAGAGATGCAGTTTTCGATTCAAATCCCAGTGATAGAAGTAGTAGGAGTATAAGCATTATGTGAAACATTAGGGTTTGAAGATTCTATTGAAGGAGTATAATCCAATGAAATAAATTTGGAAAGAGAAAGAAGATAGAGACATGAAGAATTTAGAAGATTAGAATTTGGCAGAACATAAAGAGTGGATGGTCGGGAATTTAAATCACTACAAATCAAACTATCTATTTTCTTATTTAATTCACAGTCACCAAGGCTAGATACGCATCACTGTAATCATAATTATATATGCTTATACACATGCATGTAGATAGATGTTTTTGTAAATAAGTCTGTTATTTCATGTAATATGTTTTTTATTTTAACATTGATGAAGTTAACTTCCATTTCATTATCCGCTACTTTTTTTCTATATTCTTCAAACTAGTTCAAATATGTACAATTATATTTTATACTTGTTTAGACAGTTAATTTCTTTTAGTCAGTGTTCCTCTCTCACAAGAAAGCTATATTTTAAAATGTTTAAAGTACTTGTTAGTTAGTAAATGTATGACCTGCTATGAATGTGTGTATGTCTCTGATCTAAATTATGATGTATCTCTATTATGTTTGAGATAATATCAATAAATCTAATCAATCTGATGCCGGTATACAACAACTGCTTTCTAAATATCAGCTACTCCAAAAGATAAATATTGTCAGGATGATTACTTTAGTAGAGATCGAAGAAAATTTATTTATATTCGAGTTCATTGAATAATATCAATTGAGTTTAGTTAAAGAACTTTACAAATTTGACTTATGTCACATAATCAAAAAATCGCATTGGATAAATCTTCTCCTACAATCTTAAATTAGCGCTGCGAATAATGATATGAATTTTGGTAAGGGCTAATAATGCTGACTACAATAAAAACATATTGAAATTTGGGAAATACAGTTTAACCGAGAAGCAAATAACATATTGAAGAATAAAATGTTAGAAATAATACTATCTCAAGATTTCTACACGAATATCACTACGACCAGTTTTTTATGTCCCACCACACAACTTCTCCAACTATATAAGGTGGTAGTTATTGTTAATGGGAAATACATAGGTATCATGTAGTTTGAATGTACAAATTAAAAGCATTTAATGCACAATGACATAGATACATTAAATTTTAATCTCTCATTACACCATAAGAACCAGTATTCTACTTTGCATACCTTTTCATCCAAAATATATTCTCAATGTCCTGCTTTGCTCAGTATCATTTCAATTTCGTTACTATTCAGCTTGTTTGTTCATTATATCTTGTCAGTTCGGTCATGGAAATCTTATTAAATTTCTGTCAGTCTCTATTTAAAATAATTACAACTAACTGACTAACTCAAATTTTACTTTCTGGTTAGCAAAGTTTTCTATGGGATGGGATGCTGACCCCACACCAAACCCTCCTCATTTACCCAGGCTTGAAACTGGCAGTAGCCCTAGAAGAGCTACTTCCAAAGTTGACTCAAATCTACATGAAATATATTAAATGAAAGTCAAGTTAATAAATCCTTACACATGGTAAATGATTGACTTATATATATCATACATCATTACCTCAGTTCAAAAGAATGTGGGTAGATCATGATTAATAACGAATGTCTTGGCAAGAATATGTTTACATGATATTTAATGTGTGATTTAGTTAAGCTTTGAATGATTTCACGTAATTTTAATGTACACGCGTAAATAATGAGATAGTTCACTTTTTTCTTCTTTTTTTTTTTTTTTTAAAATTTTTGATGTCATGTGGTGTTTAAAATCGAACAGTATGTCTAATTTGTCTCTTCTTTATTTATTTATTATACTGTGTTATGGAATAGTTTATTTGCTTTTTTCTGTGTATATGTAATCCATCCAACTGTTAATCATTATTGCCATTTCACATAATAAACTGTCCACTTACTATGTTATGTTTTTTTTGGTCAGTAAACGTTGTATAGATGATTTGGCATTTTAAAACACGGAATTCTACCTTATATATATATATATATATATATATATATATATATATATATATATATATATATATCAATGAATTTGTAAACAGATTACTTACTTGTTTCTGAAAACAGTGTGATTGAATGGTTTTTTCCTAGTAGATTCGTCAGAAGACTAGTGGTAATAATGATAATATATTAAGGTCATTTTGGCTATATTGCGTTCGCTAAACAACTGAATGACTTCACAAGTGAGTGAAATCGTTCAGCATTGACTTGTTAGATGGTTGGAGATAGTCGATTGGAAATCCTGGGACTAGGTTTTTTGCTAATAATTGATAATTGTTAGCAAGACTTACCTGTATTCTTGAAGAAATTCGAGAGGTTATGTAGAGGTCAGGGCTAATGAGTCATTGAAAGTGATATAAATTTATTAAGCCGTGATAAAAATAATGATTACAAGTTTTTAAAGTAGGTATTCTCTAAAGTCAATTATAGTTAGTGTAAATACGGTTAACTCGAAGGAAGCAGAATAAATTTAGTTGTGTCTAAAATTACTTAATAACTTGGAAATTTTTCAGGTTTAATTCGCGTTATGTATTACGTGTAATAATGATGTCTTGATACTTGAAAATTTATTGACCTTCAATTGTTTGGTCTTAGGTGCAAATCAATAAATTCTTTAAATCCTTTTCATTATTATGCATATTTTTAAATGTGAACATTAAAATTCAATGTCAATTCTATTCTATTCGTTCCCTCTTTTTCTCTCCTTTTCAGTCACAGACATCTACATCAAATGACTTACTTCGTCATCGTCGACATCATCTTCACCATCATCATAATCATAGTCACTACCACTTTAATAATATTCATCAGCATCCAGCATTGTTTGATTATGAACCGCATTATGATACTAATCATATCTCGTCTCCCATACATTTATCACCCAATCGCGATAAAGATACTAAGTCCATGGTAAATACTACTATTACTGATGGTAATAATAAACTTTCTTCCGTACAACTTAATAATAATAGTAATGGTACTAGTAATAAGCATTATCATCATCGTTCATATGAAGTAAATAATAATACTAGTCTTCATGAAGAAACTAATCATAATGATGTCCAGTATCGAGATGACGAAACTCCTACTCCTCCTCTTCATCATCATAATCCTTATTGTTTTTCAGTTAATCTATCAACTCATACAATTGCAACATCGAATTCTCCTATTAATAACACATTGATATCTTCAAGTCGTTCTCATCATCATAATCATTCCTCATTGACTACACTGCCTAAAATGGAACATAGGTATTCACAAGAAACTATTCAATCCCCACCGGAATATACTTCAATGATGAGTCCAAAAAATCATTCTATTGGAAATAATATTACATCATCACCACAAGATTATCGTTCAATGTCAGTGACAGGGATATGGAATTCTCAAACTAAGGTAATTTACTATACTCTCTCTCTCTCTCTCTTTATATATATATATATATATATATATATATATATATATATATATATATATATATATATATATATAGTGTCCTCTTTGTTTCTCTGATTGTACTGTGTTAGTGTCGTATATAGGAAGTAGAAACATGTTTTTGATACATCAAGAAATATATAAATCTCGTCTTTAGGTTGTCCATTTATCGGTGTTCAGAAATATCATTGACAAAATAGAGTTATTTATCTAATAAATTTATCAGTTTTTAGGTCGAAAGTATAGTTTGGGACGAGCCTTTGTGAATCGAGAATGCAACCTTAAGGTTCCTGCGCGATATTCAAATATTATTTTTAACGAACAGTAGAAAAGCCTTAATATGTTGATGAAAACATTTAAAATGTTGGTGAGAAATTATGTGGTGAAAATGATACTGTTAAACGTATCAAATATCTAATTCTGTCTCTTCAACTTGTTTATGACAGGCGAATCTACACTATCCATAAATCTTAACTATTAACCTTGAATCCTGAAACAAACCTGATAACACTACAGTTTATGAAGGAAACAATCAGATAGCATTTCTTATACTTTTTGAGCGAAATTCATTTCTCTATTTAGCCATAACACTTTTATGTGCACTGATGTCTCTTTTAAAAATATCCTCCTCTTTTTAAATTATTTCCCTTGTCCTCTTGATTTTGTTCATCGTTGTTTCTGGGATCACTTCATTTGATTTGACTCTATTATCATTAATCTTCTTACTTCATTCACATTATAATTTATTGTTAACTTATTAATTTTACATGGCTTTTAATTTGAACACCCATAATCTGTTCTTGTTATTATCTACACTACGTAATCTTTCTATTACATCATCATGTTTATTCATTGCTTATATGAGCTCATGGAACGAATATTCAAAATTTCATTTAAAAGAGATGCCTTCGTTCATCTTGGTGTTTTTTAATGTTTAAAAAGTAGGAGAAAACGTTATTGTTGAACAAAGTAAATGATTATTAACTCATCGCTTGGTATTACTACTATCATTTTCTTTCGATGTGGTTTAAAGTCGTTTTTAAATTCATTTGATCTTTTCTGAAGTTTTTACTACTTCGTTGTTTTCATTTTCATTCTCTCCTCTTCCCTCCTTTTTTCCTCATATTCTTAAACAAAATAGAACTATGATTTATGTGTGCGTGCGCTTTTTCACGATAACTTATTCATCATAAACTTGAGATTATGCCATATGAATAATATTGTTAAACAATATTAGTGTTGTTTGGTTAGTTTTATTTCCGCTCGTTATTCGTCACCCTCTCCCCTACCTTCAACTTTTTGTTATTACTATGTTTATCATCATTTTTATATCTCAAGGTCACGAAGACTTGGTTATTTCGCTTGGTAATAATATTAATAATTATTATTATTGGTTACTTTGATCGTATAACATGTTGTGTTGGATTTGTAAAGGGGTAGCCTATTTTTTCGAGAATTTTTCAACTTTAATACTTCATTTACTACATCGTAGGTTTAAACTCTGTTCCATTTACTTCGATGCAGAAAAGGGGATGGTGTTATTAAGCCTGTCGAAGCCAAGTATATAAATATGCACCCGGTAAATAAACTGAATAAATGTACCGTAACACTCTACATAAGACAAGTATTTTCCATTATTCAATATGTGTTATATTCCTGTTTGTATATGAAGATCAAAGTCATAATACTTGCAGATAGTTTTCATCGCTGACTGATATTAGTTCAAGAATTATGGGACAACGTATGATCTCTGGAACGCAAATAGTTCCATTGTTTGTCCAAGGCGAAAATCTGTTTCCCATGCAATGTCACTTGGAGTTTCCTTTACCATCTGTATATTTCTTTGTTATTTAACCATTGTATGGATTGATGATTTAGTGGATAGCACATTTGACTTTCAGTCGCTGAAATGTATATTCTTGACGGGTACTAGGTAAGGATGGCAAATCGATTGATGAAGTAGTGAAACTTCATCATTTGAGATGGCTGGGACATGTGTTACGTATGCCCAACCACCGACTGCCCCGACGTGCAATGCTTTATGGTGTAGGAGCAGGTTGGAAGAAATCTAGGGGCGGCTAGACCAAAACATGGCATAAATCCATGAAGTCGCTGACAAGTGGACTGGGTCATGTTGGTAAGTGTAGACTACCTGGTTGGGATTCGCGAGATGATAGCAACCGATGGTTAGAGACCTTGAATGACATGGTTCAAAATCGTTTGCAGTAACGAAGGTGCATCCACTATTTGTGTTCTGCCAAATTCTAATCTTCTGAATTTTTCAAATCTATATCTTTTTCTCTTTCCAAATTTATTTCACCGTATTATACTCTTTCAATAACATCTTCAAACCCTAATCTTTCACATAATACCTATACTCTTACTACTTCTACCACTATGGGATTTGAATCGACAACTGCATCTCTGTGCTAATGTGGTATGGCAACTGGAACTGATGTACGTACGTACGAAGTTCTACGTTGTGACTGACTGACTGACTGACTGAATTCTGTTTCACCTACTTTTGTATAAAAAGGGGGCCATCGATTTATGAAGTCATTGACCATTGGTCTGAATTATGTAAGTACATCCAGACTATTTGGTTGAACCTCTACGCTGATAACCTTGGTCAGTGGCTGGAGATTTTAGGTGACAGTCTAGAATCGGTCACAATGTCGCGGATTCATAATCTCAGTCTTCCTTCATACACGACCTTTCCATTCTGCCTATTCGAACGGTATTCTCAATCAGTAGTCTTTCCCATTATTATCACTGCTGCATTATTTCTATCTCTATGTCACTAGTTTCGTTGATTTCATCTCATCATAAAAAATATGGTATGAGAACTTGGGTCAACACAATTATGCTATGCCCTTGGTGGATTATGATTGATTCGACGGTGCGTAGTATCACTATTTTGGAAAAAGTGTGTTTCTGTGAAAGTCGAGCACATGAATCTAGGACTCAGTGGCCGAGTGGATAACGCGATGGCGTTTGAAGCAAGGGTACACGTTTCGAGTTGCAGAGTGAACATCAAATCTGAGATGCAGGTACATCCATCTGACGAGTCCCAAATAGGACGAAACGCGCGTCCTGGATTCCACTGCTAGCCACTATCCATTTCTGCTTACCATAAATCTACAATTGTTTACTGAGTATTTAATAATTTTTATTTATTAGTTTATTCCCTTTATAATTTAAATTGTCTTTCAAAAAACAATTTTTTTTCTCTTGTTTACTGTTTTAAGGTAAACAAAATAGTTCACCCTAAATTAAGTTTCTTTTGAAAAAAAAATAAAGAAGGAAAGAGAGAATAGTTTCCCATTTCATTAAACTGTATTCTTTATGTAACTTGACTGAATTTAGGCCAATCAACTTGTTAACTTATTCCACTGAAAACTTAACATTCACTCTTCATTTTCATTAAAAACTATAACTAAACAAAACATTTGATGGCTTTCTCAGTTTGTGAAATTATACATTTTTAAATAGTGATTAGTAGCAGTGGAATCCAGGCGTTGGATTTTATCGTAACTGGGACTTATCACCTAGTTGTACTAAGGTGGTGGTGGCCTAGTAGATTTAGTATAATAATTGGAAAGGGATTCGGAATGATTACATACAATTTGATAATAGGTGTAATTGGAACTGAATAAAGTTTATATCTCACTGAGCCATGAAATAAAATAATAGTAGACGTGATTGATTGTGAAGAATTTGTTCTAGGGAAAAATAGCACTTCTCCATGTACAGATTCACTTTGCGGTGAACATTAATTAAAGTTAATTAACTATTAATCAAACGAATATCATGCCTAATGAATACATAACTAGAATTATGAGTATACAATAGAATATCATAATAAAATAATTAATAACTGAAGCTATCCGAATGCACAATCAGATGTTTTAGCAAACGGCTATCATCCTGAATTGGTGACTTAGTGTTTAGGCTGTTTGACTTCCAGCTACTAAATCCCAGGTTCGAACTGTACTCTTTCTACTTCGCTTTGGACAATAGGTTAATATTGTTAGTCCGTATACTTGAAGTGTGGCTCATAAGTTATGTACTTAGTGAATGATTTAATTTAATTTTAAGAAACCATCCTTAACAAATTCATGATCCCATTTTGTTTTCGCTTTCTATCACAAACCAATATTCTTTAATACACTGATTTAAACTAAAACCCCAGTATTTACCATTTCAAACATCAATGCTTTTTTTGTCAAGCTATTAAGTCCATAAAGCTATTAATTTGTTCGAAATGTGTAATAAGTATCATTATTAGGAAGTGGTTTTGCTTTTTTTATTGTTAGTATTTACTATTAAATTTCAATTCATATCTATTTGTCCTATGCATCTAGGCACTCGTTCAAGGCATCTGTGTATATGCTTACAGAGATACTAACCAAACTCCTGAATATCAATATTAGTAAGAATACAAACCCTTCCTATTAATAGTATCATGAAATATAAGTGTTATCATCGGTACTTGACCAGTAATATGGCAGATTTAATACAATCTAAAGTTATTATGAATGAAATTTTATATTACGTGGTTGGAGGTGTTTGGTAGGAGATTCTTGATCTAGGTTTTGCGTAGGTGGTTTACACTTATCAGTAAAGTGTACCTGCAGTCTTAGGGGAACTGATATCTCCAGTTGGATTTGAGCCAACTAAATTCCAAGTTTGGGAAATTACTGCTGCATTTTTCCGGCTGTTACTGCTTTCTTGTCCAGATTTTCTTACTGTCTACTTTCAATCACCCAGGATTAATTTTTATCTTATTCAACTTTATTTTGGCTTATTCATCAAGTAACCTCATATTTTTAATTTTTGAATGAAGTTTCGTTCCTTATAATATCGAAGCGGTGTTTCATTTCTTTTTTGTAAAATAAACAGACTCTTTTATAGTATGGGGTTGTGAAGATTGTCTGGTTTTTATTTTGATGATGAGCCGAAGGCTCTGGGCCCGAGTCCCGCGTGCGGGATCGTGGATATACACTGCTGAGAAGTTGCATGGTAGGACGAAACAGCCGTCCGGTGCTTCTAGGTCTTCAATGTTGATCTAACACTGATCGGTTCATGACTTATTTCATAGTATGCTTTAAATTTCTAGTTAGTGTTTTCTTAAACCAGTGTGAATTTCGGACCATTACACATTATCGTTCTGGTCCTATGTTATATGTGTTATTGACTTACTTAAAAATCTAATTATAACCTATTTAAATTTTGTACTGTTTCACTACTAATTCTGAGCAAATTGTTTGAACCTGAGCTCTTTTCCTCTCAGTGGGAATTAAATCACTTCCAGTGATACATTAAACTATTCTAGAGATTAAGCGCTCTTTTGGAGACTAAAAGTCCTGGGTCTGATCCCCTGTGGTAGGTTCATAGATTATGCACTGTTAAGGAAAGAATACCATACTAGAACGAAACAGCCGTCCAGTGCTTTTAATTTTTCCATAGTGGTCTGTGATACAAACTAAAAATAATTTTTATGTCATTTAAAATAAGAGGTAAAACAAGAAAGACATGACGAGAAAGCTATGGAGAGAGTGAAAGTGAGTGAGAGCGACATGTAAAGTGAAGTATAATGTTTAAATTTCTATTTATGTGTGCTTGTGTGAACGTAGCGCATTAAACTGATTTATGTATTTATTTTCTGATTTTGTTCTTTTTATTATATTTTAGCCGGATATTATTTCACCGCAAAAAGCTGACAAGATAACATATGGTAAGTATAAAGAGTGAATACATGAATGATTGCGCTTATTCATACAATTCTTTCTCTTCTTGGTGGTGGTGAGGAGAAGGAACTAAGGATATTTTATTCTTTTTTCGAGATTTGGTGTTTAATAACTTAATTTTGTTTTCCAAATATATTAATTAGTAAGTCTACATTTGAAATTGTACAGTACTGATGACTTAATGTTTAGAACTAATTCAACTTCAAAAAACCATTGGCCTTTGAAGCTCAGAAACCTTTCTATCCTTTATTCTGTTTTCTCTTTCAGTTGTGTTTCATACATCGGCTTTTATACATAAAACGTTGGAACTCAATCCAAGTATACCTACTCGGATCACGTTATTGAGTAGTTACTTTTACTGGGTTGTTCAAAGTACTATTTAGCGTTTAGTAGAGGACGAATAGTGTAGTACCGTACACAGAAGCGTCTGTCTCAACCTCTAGGCTATCTGTTTTACAATTGTGAAAAATTTCAGAAAGTTTCTATATTTTAACTAATTACTGACTTAGTTAATGACAATAAAATCTTCACAATTAAATAAATTCAACTCAAAAAACAAAACACGATCAAAAGTATCTACTTGAGCTGGTAATCATTTGGGTCACCTCTATAAAACTTTACGATTTATCGTTTACCTAAATATTGCAAAATTTAAACGAAACAATAGTTTATATATTTTCCAGTTTGTCTACTATCGAAATAAATGAAATTTATTTGCACGAATTATTCATCTATCGAATGTATATACTACATGAAAGTGTCACTAGACAAGAATTTGTTGAAATATGTCGTATTTTGTGCTACAAATTCTTTACTGTAATCAAATATATTTCGAACATAACCATTATTGTTAACATATTATTAATTTCTTCTTATCAACTATAATGGTTGTGTGATTTATCGTGGTTAGTCAGCTACCACTTATATTGAGGAAGTCACTATAGAAGTTGATCAAAAGCTATGAAATTCGGCGAAGGAAATTTTGTTTTCATTGAATTTTTTCACTGAATCGTGTTTATTTTGTTTATTGACCCAATAAACTCAATGTTTTATTTTTTGGAAGTTGCATAGATTAGTAAGTTGACGATATTTTTAAATCATCCACTTTGCGAAACAATGCAGTTTTAGTTTTAACCTCTGCAGAAAAGCTTACCCATCATTGATTAAAATGAATTCTGACAAAATAGTTCATTATCAGTTACGTTTACAGCACGAACGAAAATTAGTATACAAGGAATAATTGTTTGCTAGATCGCTATCAGTATAAGTTTTAATACCGCTAACTTAAATCGGAAATTGTTAGTTTTGACTAAATAAAAAGAAAAATGTAATGATCGTAATGATTAGAAAAAAACGTTTACAATCTGATAAGTATTGTGTCTGCCTATAGAAGTTGATTTCACTAAGAGTGAAGAAAGTGGAAAACAATAATTAGCCACTGAGAATACCTCGATTAGTAAAAGGGACTCATCTGTTCACCAACTATAATTATTAGTTTTCACTAAAAACCACCTTCCTTGATAAGGAATACACATTTACAATAAGGTTCAGTAAGACTAATTAGAGGGGAATGTATAAAGAAGTACTGGAACTCAATATCTAGAGTAAAATAGAAAAGAAATACATCTGAACCATATCATCTTAAATTGTCACTGTTATCGATTATCTCGTGAACCTTAAAAAGGTAGTTTATACCTGCTAACATGGTTTAGATCAACACTCGTTTGTCTTGTGAATGTCGAGGTAGGCGTTGGTTGGGGATATATTACATTCACCTCAATCACCAATAACATTAAACAGTTAGTGATGAATGATAAATTTAGTATTAATTTTCACTACAAACTGGCATGAATTTATAATTCATTGAAGACTAGTGAGCACTGAATAGTTGTCTTTGTTCTAGTTTAAGACTTTCGTTTATTGTACACATCCTGTAACTTTCGAACCAGAGGTCTTTATGTTTTGCATCATGTGTGATGTCATATTGAATTTAAACTCGTCCATACTATTAATGACATCAGTCGATGTGCTATGTAGCGCAACCATCATCCATGATATCTCTTTATTCTTTATAAAATAGTTATCAGTTGTATCAGTTATAACACTTCTCAATAGTTTTAAAAACAACACTTTTCTCTAACATTTATTTATTAAATAAATCACTGACAGTTAAGTAAATTTTGTATGCGTAACAGTCAATATTCTAACATGATGTGTATATCTCTTGAGTGTCAATTAGAGTTCAACTACTACTGCGAATTACATTTTGTTTGTATGCCTAAAAGTAATGACACATTTTTCATAAATTTTTTCTTATATTGATTCAATAGTAAATAACAAGAGTTTGTCGTGCGATACCTATTTAAGGTCCGCCTGATCATCGTAACCAATAGTGTTAGAGATTGGGTGATCTGGTTAATAATTATTCTCAGTGTCGCGAGTACATTCACTCTTTGTGTTCCCTTAAATTTTAAGTCCTTTGATTTCTCATAGATTTAAAGAATTATTTTACTAATCTTTATTTTCCTTTCGAAATGTACCTTGAATCTCTAATCTTTCCTATTCTTATTAATCCTATTGCTACTTCTATCACCCTAGGATTTACCCTGACAATTTTATTTCACCATGCAAATGAGATATAGCAACTTGAACCAATTTATATATGTTTTAGGTTTTATGTGGCATTTGACTGACTGTAGTACAGACAATGTATACACATACATTTTTTAATTGTTAACTGTAGTGAACAAACAAAAATATTTCATTATAATATTAATGATAAAAATAAAATTGCATGCAAGAAATTCTTTTAAAAGAAAAGAATTTTCAAAGAGGACTACATTATGTACATATACATATCAATGTACTACAACAGTTAATATGATATGATAATTTATTATTATTATTATTATTAGCTCTATTCAATATTATATGTTTGGTACAATATAGAATTCTCGGCACGAAGTATTCTAACAAGTTTACGTTTCTTATTTGTTGATCGATCCTGACGACAAATATTGCATATTCCCAGGAACCACAATGTCTCTGGTTGTACTTTATTGTAACTTGTACAGCGAAGTGTCGTGAACTTTTCATGAATTCACTTGATTAGGTTATGCGATTAATTGACATAATGATGTGTTAAAACAGACAAACAAGAAGAGACAACTTGTTGAAACATCTATGTGTTAGGAATAGGTAGTACACGTATTCAAGCGGGTCACTTGAGATTAAATGGATTTATAAAACAGTAAGGAAGAAAAATAACTCAAAAGCACACGTCTCATCATCGCTAACAACAATAATCATTGTTCTCTATATTATTCATTATTATTATTGATTATTTATTCATTATTTAAACACATAAATATTGGTACAAAAAGGCACCGAATACATATGCGCCGCACAAATCTCATTCGATTTGTGTGAGGGCTGTGATACTGCCCAGGTGCCCAATCTGAAGCAGGTGATCTTCTTAGGGGGGCACACCCGGAGCCTTTGACCTAAATGTCTGATCCACAAAGCAGTGGAGCATCGTGAGGAAATGAACTCCCATGATAGCCGGTGACCAACGATTGATTCATACGCTATTCGTTCCCTCAGGATACTGAAGCCCCTGTACACCATTGGTTTGGAATCAGGGTTTTCCAACTCACCTATGTGGATCCTACATATCTACCAACCCGGTTAAAGCGCCGGACATTCGCTTTCCGTCCTCTCGATTTCGTAAACAACAGTAATGCCACGAGAAGGCAGTGAGTAGGACTTCCCTGTCAGACGCTATATACGCGTGTCCATATGAGAGCATTTCGAGAGGGAGAGCGGACTCTCCTCGCTCTCGGCCGTACCAGGGCATTATTATTGATATTATTAGTATAACCATTCTCATCTTCTAAGTAGAATGTACTATGATTTGTTTGGGTATGTGTATGTATGCGAGTCCGTATATTTCTTCTTCTTTTTCTTTTTCTTCTTCTTCTCGTTGGTGTTGTTGTTATCTCCAGTGGTAGTCACAATTACATGACTGATCATGTGCGTGTTTGAAACAGACGAAATGTAATCAGTCAACCAGTCAATCATTATTATTATTATTATTATTATTATTATTATTATTATTATTATTATTATTATTATTTATCCATTGCTTTTTTAGGGGAATGTGTTTTGTTTTCATTCAATGTGTCCATTTATTAGTTAATGTTTGAACAAGTTATTTTCTGTTCCAATTATTCATCTACTTATTTATATCCCTTTTTACTATTTAGTTTATCTTATTTTCATTATTGTGTGGATACGAGAAAAAGAGTTTAAACTATAACAGGAAAACAAATAATTATTGAGAAAAATCATTTCATAATTCAATCCCTTTACATATTTATGTTTGTGTATGTGTGTGAGTGTATATGTGTGTATGCATTGTAAATAGTATAGACTTTTGATTTCTTCTTTCTCTTCATGTTTTTCTAGTTAATTGTTATTGAATATTCGATATGACTCTTTTACTTTGAACAATATTGTAAATAATAGGTAAATATTAGTAAGATATACAATGGGATAGTCTATTATAATAATCTATTATCGATTAAAAATATGACTTAGTGTTCAAAGCAATTGACTTATTATTTATTAGGTTGTTACAGTTTTAAATGATGCTCTTCATAGTTTTGTTTGGCTGACTATTACCAGTTTATAATAACTATTATAATCATCTATTATCAGTAGCTAAAACGTCGGCTGATTATGGATGACAATCTGTTAGTGGCTCAGATACAGTTGTTCTTTAAACCACTGTAGATTTTGAGTTCTAGTATTACTTTATACATACTTTTTCTTCTATTTAGTAGTTCTTATTATCATTGTCGCTACACTTCCTTGCTAATAATTTTGTGTTGTTGATGTGGTACGACAACTTGTGTTAATAGACATATTTACCAGTTTCTATTTTAATCATTATTGACTGACAGACATTCAAAGTGATATTTCTCCAAGTTCAAAGTACATCTGTTAATTTTTACTTGCTAAATGAGTTACTGAATCAGAGATTTAGGTCCCAGATCATCATTTATTCCGATTTGAATACCTAGCTACAATCGTTACTAGTTTCCACATGCAAAAAATACGTCTCATGACTAAATGGATGACATAACTTTCTAAAAATGTCATAACTTTACTGTCATTCCGTAAGAAATATTTCGTCTGTTGTCAAATGCTGTTTTTTTTACTATAAATCAAAGAAAATAACCATCCTATAATTACAGTATCAAGCTTATGGAGTATTTTTGAGCTGTTGTATTCTCTGAGCTGGATAGTTTAATCGTGAAGCTTTCATTTTCTTTCTATACAACGTCATTAGTACAATATTTCAATGCTGATAATTACTTCATAATATATATGAATCTGATGAATGATAAGTGATATGTATGAATTTTTATTACAATTTAGTTGATAAATTCTCTTGAGTAGAAAGTCTCTTTAGATCATATAATTTATCCTCTTATTTACGGTAGTATGCAAATATTTTGTAAATGCCATAGCGACCATTAATAATTATAATTGATAGGAACTAGCCTATTACTGCGATGGTAGGAAATGATGATTTCTCATGATACATGAATAAAGAGGAAACTATGGTTGCTAACTCCAGAAATTTGGATCTTACCAGGCTACAGAATATCAGAAAATTGAAATTTAACCTGTAACTGTAAAGAACTAATATTTTGAAGAAAAAAATTCCTGGCTGGTACTATCCAAATGCTAAAGAAATGGTTCAAATTGGTAGATTCTTTGGTGATGATAATAATTTTTTTCCATTTACAGTTCAGTAAATATGTACTAATAATAGTCATGGGCTCATTAATGGCTTGCTTCGAGACACGATTCCTGGGGTTCTAGTTAAAAGCAGTGACCAGTTAAGCTTAAACTTATTGGTTGTAAATCAGTTATCCACCATAGGCAATGGAAGCTGGTCCCTCAATATCGTAGATTGATTGTAGTTAGACGTTTACAGTATTCGAGCTGGATACTGAGGTTTCTGGTTTCGAATCCTGGATGTTGGGCCGTGGGTAAATAATGCTAAAGAAACAGCTGTCCAGTGCTTTCAGGTTTTCAGCAGTCGTCCAACTAAGATTAGTCCGTGATTGAAAAATTATTAAAATACATTACTTCTAGTTAGTAGTTTTGAATTTTCTAAATTATTTATTTATTCACCTACTTATTGATATGATTTTTATAGGTAACAGTTGTGATGCTGATAGTGTTAAAACAATGCCAATGGTTTCCGTTCCATCTGAAAATCTTAAACGATCCGACTCTATCAATAGTAATAAATCTCATTGTCATCAATTTAGTGTAGCTGCTTTAACTGATGAAGTTATGCATTCCTCTGCTCAATCAGAAGAATCCAAGTCACAATCTACTATTAAATCCAAATCTCCAAAACATCCAAGTGGTAAAAAGCGAACCTACAGAAAATCAGAGCAGCGCGATATCAAAAATTCTGCATACGATAAGTATTCACATCGTCATAATGAATATGATAAATCTTTTGCGTATCCCAAATTTGACAATCCTACATATACAAACCGGTGTCCTATTGTAGATAACAATAGTAACAATAAATCTTGGAATTCAACAGCTACTGATTCGTTAAAAGGAGCATCATACTTTCCTACAACAGTTGGTACAAATCACAATTGTGAACGAATCCATGATACAGTTTCAAAATATTCTCCATTGACCAATCATAATGTTAATTCGATACCATTTTCTTTACGTAATTCAGCTGATTCTCTTCCTGCTCATTCATATCTACCACCAAGAGGATTTCAAGAACCTACAAGTTGTGGTTCACAGATCAGACCTTTGTCATCATCATCTGCACACTTAGTATCACCATCAGTCCCATCATCATTATGCTCGAACTCATTTTTTCCACATCAAAATTTATTAAAACAATTTATGGGTATTGATTCAGAAACTGCTAATCAATTACTCAGTGATCCACGTTTTATGGAATTGTATGCACTTACTATGGCTACTCTAAGCAATAGCGTTGATGGTGTTCCTGACTCCATATTACCACCACCAGTATCAGGAATTTCTTTGCCTAATCATGCCAATACAATAATATCAACATCGGTTAACAATAGTAATCAAAATATTAATTCAAGTAGTCAATTCAGAAATGGGAATACTGCAGGCCATTCACGAACAACTGATCCTTCACAATTTCGAGAAACATCGTAAGTTGTTGTTTGTAACATTTAACTTCCCATAAGTTTCTCAACTAGTTTTCCTTAAACATGAATGTTTTTAGTTTTTACCTTGCAATAAGCTATATACCGTCCTTGATGCAGTGTAGCAACTAATTTTTATAGAATGCTAATTAATTGCCTCAATTTCTTTCGGTTCACATAATACTATTTAATTAATTTAGTAAACTATTTGTTGTTTCACTTAATCCACTATATCTCATTATTCTCATAGTTTATGAATGATCAAAACTTGTATGTTTAATGATCCACTGGCTAACTGATTCCATACAGTTGTTACATTTGTTATTAGTTGCACTTTGCAGGTAAAGCGTGTGATGAAGGAAGAAGCAATGGTTTTATTCATAACTCTTAATTAGTTGTGTACTTCTAATTATGGAAATTTGAATTTATATTTGTTCATTCCTTTGAGATTTCTGTTATTTCTTAAAATGATAATAATTATCATTGTTATGTGTGTTTTTCTCATGAGTGGTTATTATTTACTTTTTATAGCTTCGTATATTATCCTCCTTCAACCATTGCGAAAAAACTCATAGGGTTTTTTCTTATCATTTTATATTTTCTACGTGATTACTGGATTATATTAGCTTATTTGTTGAATTTCTGAGTAATGAAATACTATAGCAGTAGGTTCATTAGTTAAGACGTTCAACTTTCAGCCACTAAATCTCAAGTTCGAACCGCGCTCCACCTAGTTTGGTTCGAGAAACGGAGTAGTATCATTAGTCTTAACAATTTCTGTTGTTCATACCTAAGGATCTGTTGAATGAGTTGGTTTATTCTATACTCAACACTTAGGTCATGTTTTGCGACATTTATTTATTTTACCATGGATCTTGGTACTTCGGCAGTAGAACCATTAGATCCAGCTGCTCTTTTTCGATTTTTATAATTCACCTGGAGGGAGTATAATTAGAAATTGTCCCCTTGTAATGTGTATCTATGTTTGTGAATAAAATAAAGCAGTTGGCCCAGTGGTCAAGGTGTTCGAATTTCAATCAATAGGTTACAAGTTTGAGCCTCATTTCTCATACTTCTCTTTGGGCAGTCAGATAGTTTCACTAGCTCTTACATTCCTAGTACAGTTGTAAGTTATGTTCACAAACCTGTGCCCAGTAAAAGAGTCGGATTAAAAATTGTTCCATAATGAACTGATAATTATGAATCGTGCGGATTTGTGTTGTTGACCACTATATTGTCGAGTTTCTATATCGAATTACTTGCAGTTAGCACTATTTATATTACCGTTTAGTGAATCTTAGCTGAGATATTCGTCTTATTATCAAAAGGTTGATATAATACCAGACAATCCACTCTGGTTTATTTTATAGTTATGAAATTTGACCTTTTAAAGTTCACTGATGTTCTTCAGTTATTCATTTGTAATCATAGATGCATCCGAATCATTGTTAACGTCTGATGAAACATCCGAGATTGATTGATTGATTTCCTGGAACAGAATTTCCATGAACTAAAGTAGCTAAGAGATGTGTGTTATATATACCTAACTGCACCACTTCAGGCTCTGTTCAATGTTAATTGTCGTTGTAGGCTGAAAGAAATCTATGGAGGAATCAAATAAAGATACCGCATCATTTCATTAAATCTATAATAAACTTTTCGTAAAAAACAGCACGGTTTTTTTTTCATTGAAATCCATACTTTTTTTTTACTTTCAAGTTTATGAAGTCTGTTATTTGCATTTTATTATTTTTTGCCGAAAACACTTATTTGTTTATTTCACACAACCACAAAAAACAGTTGCACACGTTGTTTCACGTAATAAATTGATTTATCTATCTAAACGGTATAAAGTAATGAATTTTCTTAGAAACTAGTAATTTTGTATACATTTTTTCCCATTTTGTAAATTACATTTCATTAATAATAGTAATAATATAATGATACTGTTTATATCATATCAACGATGAAAGCTCCACGACCAAACCACCCAGCTCAGAGAACAAACCAACATCAAAATCACCCACCTGAGCTACAAATCTTCTCCACCATCTCAACGTATCATGTGTATTACATTTTGGTGTGTGATTTTTTGTTGTTAATGTAAATAGTAATAATTAGAAGTAGTTCGTCAAATTCCTATTTTCAAAAAAGGAAAAAAAAAACTGTATCTAACTGAATGTATATTTAAACATGGATATGTAAACTATAGTTGGACAAGTTGTTTTACTTTCTAGTTGATTAGTATATACGGTTAAACAGATAGAGATCATTGTAATTGTTTTAAATAATAAATGCTTTTCTCTATGCGTGCATGTCTGTATTTGTGTTGGTGTTTTTCATACATTTCACATGCTTATGCATGTTTTGTATATATAGTAATATATATATGTGTGATATACACAATGCTAAAATATTTAAAAATAGACATTAGAGACTGACTGGAAAACTTTATTTGGATAAGAATTTAAAATGTTCAAACTTGAAAAAGACCTTTGATGATGACATTGTTATCATGTTGAAGTCAGTAAATCAAATGCATGAAATCTCGTTCTGCATTTTTCAATACGTGCTAAACGCTTTAAAAATTTGGAGAGCATATATTTGTTAACCTACATTATTATTTAATTACTTATTCTATCTTTTTTTACTTTTGTGTAAATAGGTGGTTAAAATATTCAGCTTTTGACCAGTAGATCGCAGATTTACTTAATTCTGTTTGACGATTCGTCGGTATCATTATTCTTCAAAGTTTCAGATGTTGATCTGCGTACAGAAACTTGCACTTGAACGATAAGCCACATTGACACCGTTCTTGACATTTTTGTTATAATCGTACATAATAGCTTATGGGGAGTTCCATGTAACAATAGTTTTTTTTGGTTGAAGATGATCACTACAGGAAACATAAAACGCTAGATATGATTACCTTGCAATGCTTCTATGTAATATCATTTCGATATCCATACACACATACAAACTGCCCTTTAAAAAGAGCCGGAGTTATGTTATTTGAACCCGATGATTTGTAGCGTTTCTAGAGTTGAAGTTCCTTGTGGACTTCCGACTCATTCGGTGGAGCAGTCGTCACTGGCCATGGAGGGCAGGACAATCTGGTCGTTGTTGCCGGAGCAGCAGGCCATTTGAAATGCCTTTCAAAGAATTCTGCCCATCGTCCAAGACGTCGATGGTTGTTAGTGATTTGCATACCACGCACGTAAAACAAGCCTTTTGAAGCGACAGATGGAGAGCGAATTTTTAGTATATCACTAGAGTCTCGAATACGGGTCTCAGACAACAAACATCGATATTAGGACTTTCTAAAGACACAGCCAGCCCTATCTGTTGACCGATCTGCATTATTGTGCGAACGTTGAAGGAAGCCAGTTTGAATGGTATACGTGGTTTCAGAAAGACTGGTTCAGTATACGTATTCGTGGGAGCATTCACTTTTGACCAGACAGAGACGGAAGATCTTTAGATAGGAAAGAGTTTCCGCCATGGACGAGCTGCTGCATAAGTTGAAAAATGGTAGTACATGAAGTGGGAATAGAGTAAGATAAGTGGCGTAGTATAAAAAAGGATAATACTAGTGATAATAATAAAAGTGAGTATTGTCAAGTGAATGATAAATATCTGAATTCTGATTCGAGTGAGCATAGTATTCCATGAAGTAATTGTCATCTCACCTTCTCGTGGCGGGGGTATTGTTTATGAAATTGAGAGTGAGTATTGTCAAGTGAATGATAAATATCTGAATTCTGATTCGAGTGAGCATAGTATTCCATGAAGTAATTGTCATCTCACCTTCTCGTGGCGGGGGTATTGTTTATGAAATTGAGAGGACGAAAAACGTCTGTCAGTTAATATATCTGTTAGTCTAAATAACCCTACTTCTAGAGTTCATGAATAGACGTTTCGTTATACTGAAAACACTACAAAACGAATACAGAATGATGATGAGTGAACAATAAATTATATTTATTTCGAAAATACTTGTAATGATTTTGAATAATTGTGTCTTTCTTTGATGTGTGTATATATTTTAAGGTTATCTCACTGTGGACAACAAGTCAATTTATCCAGTATTCAAAACAAATTACATCCCTATAGCAATATGATGATGCTTGGTGCTAATCGTCTCCCACTAGCCCCTGGCACTGTTCCATCATCTTCACAGACCATATCTAATTCGTCCATAAACCGTCTTATCCCACCAAGTAAGGAGTTATTATTATTAATCATAATTTTGCTTTGTATTTACATAGTTACTTGTTAGGAGATTTTTAATTTTTTCAGTGCATTTTTCTATCTTCACTTTTTAGGTATGTTCATGTTACAGATTTTATTTGTACTTGTAAACATCTCTTGTACAGGCATTTTCGTTTGTTTTATTTCGGTCGTATTTTTTTAAAGTATACTTTTCCTGGTTGCAAATCCATCCGTTTTTTTGTGTGTTTTACTTCACCTGAGCGTAAAGCATTTCATATCGAATGAGTAAATTCCTTTGTGATGTTTTTTACATTTTTATGACAAAGAATAGACTTTGGATTTTCCAATAATTATTTTCCACAGGGTTAATTGAGATACGTCCTATTTATTGTGTGCAAGGTCTTAACATCATCAATTTTCCAAAATGTTTAGACACAAAGTCATTTTCATTCAATAAACTTTCAAAGCTTAGTGTAAAAATGTCTCATGGATTATAAACGATGGCTTTAGAGTATTAGTTCCATGATCAAAGCATTCAACTTTCAACCAGTAAGCTCTTCAGGCTTTAACCCCGTCTCGCGTTTTTTTAACTTAGACTGTGGAATAGTAAATCACTAACTTTAATAGTCGAAAGAGTCTGACTCAAAATCAAATGCATAAAACCTGCATTTAATAACAGAGTTGCATTTTTAGTGTTAGAAACCGATCGTAAAAAACAATAAGATTTCATTTGTAATGCAGTATGATATACATCTCGTGGGCGCTATTCATTCATAATATGATATAGTGATAATAATTAAACACCGTTTGTTAATTTTAAAATGTATTCATTTTCTTTTAGACATTAAACCTTGTTATATTTGCTAATTGCATTATACTTGGCAACTAGCTCTCAAAGGTCTTAGACAATATTAATCTTAAAGCGAATAGCCTAAAATCATTCCCCTAGTATATTGAAAATGTCATTTCTAAGTAGATTGTTGTTAGTTGATGACAATGATGCACGAATCTATTAGCATCGATAGTTCACATTATTCATCAATAAAACATATTCATTTAATATTATGTTATACATTCGTACTGTCTTAGTTCAAATTATGACACTCACTCACTCTCTAACTTACTCTATTCATTTATTCATTCATTGGTTCTAAAATATCATAATTTAGTTTAACTGAAATTCCCTGACATTTGTTTGATGCTTATCATTTGTATACAATTGTAGTGGATTCGTTTTCTTTTCATATAAATTCTTTTATATGATACATTGAATCAAGGCATAATAATGGTACTTATGTGTATAATAAATGCGGACAGTGATTTTTACATGGATCATTTATAACAAATGATAAATGACTAGTTTTCAGTTGCATATATGTGCATCAGTTATAATAATAAATTATCGTCTATATAAAATAAATACCAGTGAAAAATAATAAAACAAAATATGTTCATTTCTTATCTTATGTTATTGGTTTGTGTGTAAAACATAATCAGTCAATATGACATGCATTGTTCTGAAGATATTATTTTTCTATTTATAGGTCTATTTTCAATTAAATCATTTAGTACACTATAATATCTCTCAGAATTGCCACCTAAGGAAGTTAACTGATGACTGAGCCATTAACTCTAAATTTGAATAGGAGATATCAAAGATATCTATTTCGTCTTGAAAAGTGTTCATAATATTTGTTGTTGTAGCGATAACTTCAATTGATAGTTCATTGTTGGCTTGATTAAATGACTGCAAATGTTCTATGAAACAGAAAACCTTAGTTTAAACAATATCTTTGTAATAAGTGTGAGAATAGGAAAATATCAATCAATAAGTGTTTTATACCTTTTAAAGTATGAACTGATCTAAGCTAAACCACTATTAAAAAATCGGAAGCAATAAACGGCTGTTTCGTCCGAGTACTGGTCTCCTTGATAGTACGCATCGGGAAACGGTTTAGGGTTGTGCAATGTCGTGAATTGATTGAAGTTAGATATTAACATAATTATATCCCGGCTCATTGGTTTAGAGTTTAAGCGTTCATGAGTGAGGCCGAGGGTCATAGTTTCGATTCCCAGGTGCGGGGTCGTCAGTAGGTACGTCTGAGAAGTTTAGTACATGTGCGAAACGTCCGTTTAGTGCTTCCAGATTTCCCTGTGGTAGTCTAACTAAGACTAGTTTGTTATTTAAAAACTACGGAACGTCTACAATCTCCACAAAAATAAATCAGTTATCAGACAATACGTTTGGTATTAACTGTTTCTATCAAAGTAATATATCTTAATTTGAGTGAAAAAAGTAGATGAATTGACTTATAAGTTTCACACTCTGCTGACTCTATTCAAATTGAATAAGGAGTAGGGTGACTGTTTTTGATTGATCTGTAAGGGATGAAATGTTATCGAAAGAAACTCTCCAGTTAACTGTAGTATGTAACTGAGTGAATAGGTAAATAAAGTTACATCACTTCTTTTGCTAGATTGAATTGAGTTTTTTCATATATTTTCGTTTACCTCGTAACATTTAGCTGTAAATTATAAATTTGTCTACTGCAAAATGTAATTCTAACGGTTTTCTCGTCATGGTAATAACAGCATTTCCTAATTTACTTTCATCGAAAATAATAGATAAAAACTACCGAAGAGCTAGATATCAAATGTTAGTAGGTGAATGGCAAAAATACTTGTTTTCTAATCAGTGGTAGTAATACAGTAGGTCATAGTTTCGAATACCACTCCATCTTTTTGAAGCTACCTAGCCAAATATAATCACTAACCATCGCACATATTCTGTATTGTGATCCGAATGTAAATATATGAACACATATACTTGGTAAATGAGTTACATTTTTGTTTGTTGATATGATGATTAAAACATAAGTTTCATTCGTCCTTTTCCGTTCACAGTAAACCTTATCCGTATTTCTCTATTTAATCATTATTCACAAGAAAAATGTGAATATAATTTAGTGAAAGAAATGCTCCCTGGCATCATCGCTCAGTGTATCTTTTCAGTGAAGAGGTCCCTGATCTATGCTTCCTTTTCATAACTGTTTAGTTTAGTCTCATAGATAATGCTAAAATGATTTCGCAACACTGTATTAATGTATAGTTGACAATGGTATTTACAAATTTAGCTACTGACTAGTTTTATCATTGTAAGTTAACAAACATTGCTTAGGTAATGATATTATGTTAGACTAGACTGCTTTGACAGTGACCGTTTCTAAAATGCCTATTCAATAATCAGTCTTGGCGAGACTATAATTTGAACTAATCTTAAGTGACATTGAGACATTTCAGAAAACGGTCGTTATAGAGTAAGAATATATTACACAAAACCAAAAAAACTAGAGTGGTTACATTTATTTAACATGGTTTAAAAACTTGTCGAGATTAGAAATATGCTCTGCATTTCTGAAGTTGTAATGCATATGGTACAGGAATTCATCCATTCGACTTCGGTCAGTATTACCGGTGCTTTTATTATCCAGTTTACAACAATTATTATAACCTGTGTAGTGTCAATGATGATCGAGTGAAATAAGTCTCCGTTCTAGGAGACTTTTTCTTAAAACAAATATAGTGTGTCATTGTTGACACTATATAAAGGAATAAATAGAAGGACAAGTACAGTGTTTTTATCCATCTCAATTCTGAATATTAAATTTATTTTCTGAAAAAATGATACCTTAAGCGATGTCACTTCGTGATAAAAAAAATTTACAAATCTCTACGAAACCGCTTCGACTAAATTACTATAGTCAACTCACTAGTGTTTTATTTCAAGATATTTCTAAAGTACAGTTCAGGTGTATCGGTGTTGAAATAGTTGTCATGAAAAGGAATGGATGATTGTCGCTCTATATCTCACATTTATTGAAGTATGGGAACGTTTACTACTGGACCGCTACCCAAAACTTGTGATAGTTAAGTGTTCGCCACGATATCTGACAGGGTTATGATTATTCACTGCTGAGGAATTTCATACATCGGGAAGAAACAGAGCTGTCTTGTAGTTCTTGATTTTTAAGAGTATCCTAACTGAAATTGATATTGTTAATAGCAGTTGTCTCAGTGTTATATCGTGCTTAGTGTGATACAGTTACTTTTTTTCCTTGATTACAAATCATAAAACTAAACATATATGGTTGGATTTAACTCATTATTCATACCTAGATTAAGTAAATTATCTTAGAAAGGTCTGTGATCATTATGTCACATCATACCATTGTAATCAATTGGTGTATTCGCTTTCTGATAACCTATTTCATTTTTTGAAAAGACTAACTCCTAACATATTTTTCACACCATTTTCATCTTATTACTCCGATTTTTTTCAACCTATTAATCTTTGTTAAAAAAACAAACACTACAACTTGTTATTATTATGGACATCCTTCTTTCTTTGTTTTTGTCCTTGCTCATATTCTATTTTTCGTTTATTTTCCATGGCTCTCTACTTTTCTCATCTTGTTTTCTTCTTATTCCTTACATCTTTTGCCTTTTTTTCTCTTATTCTCATGAATAATATATAGAGAAGGAAGTATAAGACTAAGCTTGACAATTGCTTGTTTGTTGTTCATCTGTGAAGTAAAATCGTTTTATTGTAACTTTTTGCATTCTCTCCTGATGTCTTCTCCCTCCTTTCTTATCTCTCTCTCTGCTCCATATTCTTTTCTCGTTATCATGTTGCAACAGTTTCCTATACGTTTTGTTTTTGTTTTATATCCTGAAATGAATGAAATTAGTATGTATGTATGTGTACTTGATTGCTTTCACAATTTTAATAACCCACTTGTTGTATTGAATTCCATATTTAATGTGTTGTTGTTTATTATAAATTTTAATTGATTGTAAGAGTTATCATTATGTCCGTCATCTCTATAGCGTTCTGCCTCTGGGCGTGTACGTGTGTGTATAAAAGTAGAAATTTTTAAATAATGAATATTTGATGTTTGTTGTTGATTTTTCCGTGAATGAAAATTCCAGTCCAACATAGAAAGTTATTGTCTTGCGTAAGTAAACACGTACACACATCATTGAGTTTCTCTAGAGAGAAGACTAACGATGATTGTCAGTATACTAGTAGTACTGTGGTATATGCTACTTATGTCGACAGAAATAGTATGTAACACCAATTGGATATGTAATGCTTTTCAAAAAAAGATTGAACTGAAGAGAACAGAAAGGAATTGGAATAAAAACAGAACTGGAAGAATGGCAAAGGATATAGAGGATAACTGAAAGATGTGCTAAAGATGTATGTATGATTTTCACATTTTTGGTAAAACAAAGTGTGATTATGCATTGAACAATAAATTGGTCTTCCCCTCCTGAGTTCTCGTTTACCGTAGTACCATATAATGATGAAAATAATAATTTCTTAAGGCTTGCTATAATAATATATAGCCAATTATAATATTTGTTACTACTTTTTAGGCATGATCTATGAATTATTCTAGGGTATGCACTGATTATATGAATACCCATCTATAAAGCTGATCTGTATCATTGAGTCACTGATGAACGTGCAAACCGCTTCAAGATCACAGCTAATTTTTTTAAAAATCGACTTAGATATTTGTGTTGCGAATTAGAATTAGGGTAAAGTTTTCATCACTAGGTGACATCAGTTATGATTCAAGGGTCGTAAACCTCACTCTTGAAGTACTTATTTTAACGTAATAAGTAATTTACCGAACTCTGCTCTCTTTCTTTCTTGATTGGATTAACTAGTTAAGATCTCAAAGTTATTTGAAAGCATGATCCAACTTTACACCCATTTGTCAATATTTCAATGGACAGTTTCACAGAAGTCGGTTGCCAAGTATGCATGAAGGGAAATTGAATATAAAATTAATTTGTAATAATGTCAGCGATTGGTAATTCTGTTTTAATTCGTTGACGAAGTTTGGATCAGATTACTTATCGAAACATGTTAGATCTACTTAACTTTCAATCGTATATTTTATATTTAGTATAGATGGACGGTGATTTGTCGAGACATGTTTAATTTGAAAAAAAATCCATCATGTGCCAAAATCGTCAGGATGTCTGTTGTAAACCTGTAACCAAAACACTTAAAAGTTGTTTTGTTGCAAGCTTGAGACTTTTTAATTGTGGATACGGGTTTGTAGTGAACCCATCACCTTTAGACCAAAAAAATATTTCTAATATTTGAGAAATTTTTTTAACACTTGAGATTTTTACACATAACTTATATACCCTGCTTTGAACCACAATGTTTTTCATACAAGTTGGCACTTTTATTTGTCTGTCCAAACGGAAGTGAATTCAGATTTGAATGCATCATCGACACACTATTTGAAAACTTATTTATTTATTTATTTAAACACATAAATATTGGTACAAGTAAGAACCAGATACATATGCTCCGCACAAATCTCATTCGATTTGCCTGAGGGCTGTGATACTGCCCAGGTGCCCAAGCTGAAACAGGTATTTAAAAACTAAGTTTTATTAACCACTTAACATGTTCAGTCACATAGATGGATAAATATTTATCATTTTGTCCTACAAAATAGAGCATGTCAGCTAATATTCTATAACTTATCCCACCCATTGGTATAAAGTTATATACATAGTGTACATACTTAATTATTTCATTCAGATATTTACTGTCTTTCATATAAACTTTATGGAATTTTCTTTTGTAGTCATTGAAAAATGTTTTGCTTTGTTTAAACATTATGAGAATAGACTTTATCCTATATTCGCGTGTAGATTTCGATGTGTAGTTGGCTTCATTTCCCCTTTTTTCTTCTCTCTCTCTCTCTCTCTAAAGTTTGGTTTTATTTAACTATCAGAATGTTTTGTTTTGTGAATTTTATTTATTATCCCAATTTTTCCTCTTATTCAAGATTAGCATATTTTGTTTGTTTGTTTATTTAATATAAAATGTGTATATGTTTGACTGAACCGTTGATTTATTTGTTGTTGTGGTTGTTTGAATTAGAATAAGAAAATGTTTCTCACGAAAAATATTATTTAATGACTTATTATCTGTAAGATATTGAAATTTCGTTTGTAATACTTGTTAACATGATTTGCATTTCTTTTTTAGTAGTCTAATCGTTAAGGTCTTTTCACTTATTTTCATATATGTTTGTGTATATGTATGGCTGTTGGAGGTGAGTGTAAGAATGGAAAGTAGGTAGAAAGTGTAAGATTGTTTTTTTTTGAATATTGAATGTTGAAGTATCAAATATTTAATGTAATTGATAAAAGGACGCAATCTATTTACTCCGTAACAATAAGTGATTAGTTTTATTATAATTAAGAAAGGTTGTGAAGAACTGACAGTTACAAAGTCGTCTTTTCATCACGTTCAATGCTTAATACTATCCAGACTACTGAAATGAAGACCGTATTTTTAGCTTGCGACTATAATATACTCCGTATTGAAAATAGCTTCATCCTACTTTTAACGTAGTTGATTTTCACCCCAGTTACTATTGTATCATATTAGAATTCTAAGAACTCGAATCAAATCTTGTCAACGAGTTCCAGCTAGAATGCATCTTAATTCTACCGTTTTTTTTCTGTTGACTACTAAACACTAAATCAATGTCCGCGTTATGTTGAGTTATCTAGACTAGTAGTCACACTTCAGCCTGATTCGCAGAATTTGATCTATGTTAAAGGACTAGGCAACATTATATTAATTACTATTCAATGATTAATCACTTGTAATTTTTACTCAAATACTAGTCGTACTATTGAGTTTATAGTTTAAGATTTCATTTATTGATTTGCATAATTCCTTATTGTAGTTATTTGTTTATCGATACGGGGTTGTAGAGATTTCTAAATTTTAGTGAAATCATCAACCGATCTAAGTTATACAGCCACTGAATGACCGTTTCGCCCTAATGCGAGACTTCTCAGCGGTGCGTACCCACAACTCCGCAACTGGGAATCGAACTCAGAACCTCCAGTCTCGCGCGCGAACGCTTAATCTCTATAGCATTGAGCGGGTATCCAATGGTGTATGAGCCTAACTTCCAACAGATTTAACACTTTTTCTGTATATCTATACAACTTGTGCTTTTTCTCTTTGTTTTTTACTGTAGATTCAGAATCATTGTCAATTAGTCAACTACAAACTGATCGATCTCAAGCTGTATTAGCTGCAGCTTACGCTGATCGTGAATTCGTAACATCAAATTCAACACTGGCTAAACTGAAATTATCTTCTCAAGGTATAATGATCAATAGTGGTAGTGATCGTAATAATAATTCAACTGTACCAAATTCATTGGTCAATTCATTACCATCTACAACAAATATCAATTGTCTGTCTGATAGTAATAATAGAAATGCCCAAAATTTCAATATACCACCCAATCCAATGATACAACGTCATCATCATCATTTAAATTCTATGCCTCAATCATCTATCGGGACATTAGAACCACCATCTACTCTGCATAGTTCCAAGTCAAATTCCATAAGTTCCAATTTTTCTTGTTCCTTATCATCAGATTCAGTGATGAATAAAAATTTCGGTTCTTTCCCTTTAAAACTTGTAAGTGTGAATCTATTATTATTATTATTATTATTATTATTATTATTATTATTCACAAATCTATGTGTAAGGTGTTTGTATGCACCACTGTGCATTCACACTAAGACTTGAAACTAGTTTTTTTTTGCTTGCAAGACCCAACTTGTTATCTACTGTGGTATAAATCTGTTCCAAGATTTTATGAAAAGAAGAAATTGTTTATTCTTTACAAACCCTTTTTCATCCATTCACTGTAACATAATTATTGGTAGATATGTACTTGGTATATTTGTTAGCTATTCGTGTTTGGTTTAAAATAAAGGACAAGTAAGTTGTTAAGATTTTATTGAGTAAAATTATATAGTTTATATCATTGACTGAATCCAGCTCAACAACCACTGGACACTGTAAAATGAGCTGAATAACGGTGTCTTGCAGAAATTTCTTATCGAGATGCACTCACCACTACATAAAATCCAGACACCTAATCAAAGATACGTAAGTCTAGAAACATGCGTTTGCGTTACCTTTAAACTAATAACTTAAGACTTAATTGATCGTTATAGCGCCATTTTCAATCCTCAGTCAGTGATGTTGCAAAATTCAAATAGCAGATAAGAAAGCATTTATTTACATTGAATCTCAAGATTTCTTGGCCCTTTACCACTTTCAATCATTTTTTTTCTAGCTTAATGGCGATCTACACAATCCTGTCTCGTCGTCTTCGTCCTCATCGTTATCTACACACAATGATCGTAATGCCATGATGGGATTGCATAAACCGGAATATATGCCATCAGAATCGGTGCTTCGTTCTAATTTTCCACCTTCTCTTCAATTAATACCACCACCACTGCCGCCAAATATACCTCCGGAATTTTTGAAATCATTTCTTGTACCTGATTCTTCATCACCATTATTTCCTGGTCCCAAAGTTAACGCTACACTAAACTCATCATTTATGCCTTCCATTCCAAACCTACAATCCACACAACCGTTGTACTCCCCTATGAGAGTTAATCACTCTAATCGATCAGATAAAACTAATTATAATGGTATTCTACACCGTCCAGTTCATGGAGACAAGGTAAAAATTGTTTTACTTAGACTTTTGAAGGCTTTTTCTCCGAAAATATTGCATACTTATTCACACTAATTTACCACTGAGTAATAACTGTTATCATATCTATCTAGTTCCTATCTCTCATTGCATTCTGTCGATTAATTTCCAATGTAGCCAGTAGTTTAATTGACTAGTAGTCTACTGTATTTTAATGTTATTTGGTTGAAAACAGGCCTTATGGACCTTCGTTTCATACTGGTTGGTATGTTTACAGTTTTGGAGGAACTAATGCTCCTCATGAGCTCTGAACCCACGTATTCACTCACTCATACGCATACATATTTTGAAATATACATAATCTTAGGGTTTACATGTAGGCTACGAAATTCAACCATCTCTGCAAACCCATTGTTCACTAAAGTATGTAATCAATGTAATATTCTTTAATCGTAGCATAGCAAATTCTTAATGGTCAAGGATCATAAAAATGCATCATAGAATATAGAATATCATGTGATAATAATAGGAATATGAATTGAATTAATAAAGGATACAAAGCACATTAAAGACTACTAGAATAGATTTTGTCAAAAGTTTATCTTACTGTTTACGTATGAAACAAACAACATCCAAAAATGCAACATCGGAACACCAACCAAATCACATTTGTTGTCGGAACTCTGAAAGAGGTGCAAACTTTTCCTTACCTAGACAAGCGGAGAACCGATTCAAATTTAAGGGCACGGATTGGTAAATCAAGGGCAGAATTCCTATAATTGAAAAGCAACCGACAACCAACATCAAAGTCAGAATTTTCAGTATGAACGTCAAGATATTTATTTTGTGCGCAGTTGAAACATGGAGAACTACTACAAGCATCGCCTAAAAGGTTCAGGTATTAAAAAACAGTTCTCTACACAAGCCATCCCAGACTAAAGTCTTGAGTTTTAAAATCATCTTATACTTTTTTTACTCAAGTTTTGTTATTTTCGAGTGATATTGTTTGTGCATAATATTGTAATGTACCACTAATAATACTAGTACTTCTACTCTGACATTTGTGTTGTCAATTACGTCTATCGGTACTACGGATATGGTTTGTCAACTTGGAATACATCAAATATATTCCAGATTCTGTATTGTGTATGACTAAGTGACTAATTAAAATGTTACTATTTATCACAAAAAAATATGTTGGAATTGATTGGTATACTTATTATTAAATGCAATCGATTCGCAACATTGTGCGATAATCACACAGTGTCATTTAGAATATCTATCCCTAATTTCTTTGATGATAATATACATATTTTAACTCATTTCTCATACTATATGTTTTCTTATACTTATTTTTACCTAATCAAGCTTTATGGACGTTGGGCTGACGCACATATTCGTATCGCTCTGTTTATCCAACATTGTAAATCATCTACTCAAGGATTACAATCATCTCCGGTTATATCCTCAATATTTTCAACACCTAGATTACCAATTCGTCCTGTGGTTAAACGTTTGAGCCTAGGTGTACATTCCTCTATGCCTTCTTCCATAATTAGTGGACCTGCAAATTATAATTCAAGTAGAGTAAATATTGAATCAGTGAATAACAATCGATCAAATCATCCACCGCCACTAAGACCTCCTTCTTTTCTTCCTTCACAACTTCATAATCCTATTACTTCAGTAAGCAGTAATAATAATAACAATAATAATAATAATAGCGGTCCTTCAATTCCTAGTAGTATGAATTCTGATATATCATTTTGGGGACATCTATTTAATGAATTTATGAATAATCTATCAAAAGAATTTCTAAATAGTATACCAGACTGTAAAGATACTCAGCTAGCAATTTTACAAAACTTTTATTCTCAAATGTCACAAATGAATAATTCTGTATTAAATGGTGGTTCTTTCCCGAAATCAACAGATTTTTCTTTTCTCAATTCAACAGTATCATCGTCATCTATGGCTAACAATAATAATAATAATAATAATAATAATAATAATAATAATAATAATAATAATAATAATTGTTCACCAGTGCCATCAGTATCAAATATTGCCGGCTTCAACTTTCCATTAATTGCTCAATCCTTCAATTCCCTTTCTTCTTCCTGTTCTTCTTCTGCTACTACTACGACGACATGTGTTCGACCAACTGTTCTTCCTTCATCTCCTGCTCTTATAAATTTTCCATCTTCAACAAATATTTTAAATAATAACGATTTAAAACGAAGACGAGCTGATTCTTCTTCAAATAGCATGGATATTAACAATTTGCCATTTCCAATGCGTTTTCCTAATTCTTTTCCTCGACCACCGACTATTTATAATTATGTGCCTCATTCGCATTCTTCCCTCTATCCTGGATCATCAATACCACCACCTCCAGCACATTCCGATATGATAAATGTAGCCGCTGCCGCTAGTTTATTGAATGGATTTCGATTGCCTGAAGCCTTCTTAAACCATTTCCCACATTCTATGCAACTGCCATCAGTATCAAGTGGTTCTTCTTCGTTGAATGATAGAAAAAATACCAGGTCATCTAATACTACTACTGGTACTATTACGACTTCCAGTAATTCATCTCACTTAATTCCAATCAATCCTTGGTGATTTTAATCACACTGTTTGTCTATTTTTCTCCCGATCAATAGTTTATAACTTGTTTCAAAATGGTGATTTTATTGTTATTAGCTTATTCAATTCTAGTGAAGAGAAGATAGGTGTGTGGCTACGATGATGTTGATAGTATATGTTGGAGTGTGGGGGAGGTAGGTATAAACAAAGAAAGGATTAGTTTTTGATGTTTGCTAGTTTTCACTTCAATTCTTCGTCTTACTTAATTGTGTTCTTTCACTTCTCATTTGTTTATTTATTCAAACATGCAGAGATTTACTTTGGCTATCATATATATATATATATAGCATATTTCTGTAATACAATGTTCAGTTACATTTGCTGCCTATTTCTTTATTCACTATTCTTCCGTTCTTGTTATTCTTCGTATAGTTTGCTTCCTACACTATAATCATATCGTAATGGGAGCATACACCTATCGTCATCATCATCATGGACAGCCACTCACGATGGAGGCTCATACAGTGTTTTTGTTGTTGTTGGATAATTTCATCTATTCTTTTAGTTTTAAAAACGGAAACATCACCTCCCCTGACATGTACACAAACTTTGTAGGACGGGGTTAAATATTTTTCCCCGGTAGATTTCATTTCAGAATCATGTATATTAATTATTATTAAAATTTGACAAAATGAAGTTTCAGTACATAGCAATACATATAAATAAATACAAAAGTCATAATAATGCCTTCTTGTCTATTCTTTTCATTTGCGTTCCTTTTTTGTCTATTGACGAATATGTTATGTTGTATATTAACGTGAAACATAATGAATGAGCGATAGAGAATGTTTGTGTGTGTGTGAGAGAGAGAGAAAGAGAACTTTTTATCAACGAAATCACTACATCTCCTTATTTTTTTTGTATAACTCCCCTTCTTCTCGTCCTTACTTTCATACTTCTGACCTTCATATGACACTACTACTATTAGTACTTAGTTACATTAGCTAAATAGATAAATGGACAGACAGATAATCAGTCGACTATTTCTACTATCATCACTATTATTACCATTATTATATTGTATTATATTGTAATACATTTTATATTATACTCATCCTTTATTTTACACATTACTTTTTAAGCAGTTAAATTTGTCACGATGTCCCCATTCACTTCTCTTTTCATTCATCTTTATTTTTTCTTCTGTAAGTCTTTATACCCTGATTGCTTATGTTACGGCTTATTCTTTTACCCGAAGAAGAATGTATCGTTTAGGCGTCATAATGAGAATTGAATTGAATTATTGTTATTATTTCACTTTATGTTGTATTAACTTAACCATATAGTTAATTGTGGTTAATATAAATTAACGTTCGCTTTATTTTCATTAGTTCAACAATAACAAATACTTACTACTGACTATTGTCATTTATTACTTAAATTGCTTCTTTGAAATTAGCATTGTGAATTCATATTTTGGATAAAATAATGAATTTGTCAATTTCATTGTGTTATATTCTCATCCCCAGTTATGATTAATTACACAAATGAATAATAATGCAAAAACAAGCAAGGACTATTGAATACCTACAAATATACTGAAAATATTGCAACTCCTCTAATGGCTGTTCAATTGTTCATTTTTATTGTTATTATTATTAGCATTATTTTCATTTTGTTTTAATTTTTCATAATGATCAGTTTGAGAACGATGATTACTAGCGCTAACATGGAATTCACGTGATTTTACACAATGGAAACTGTTTTTGTAATGGTAGTAGTAGTAGTAGTAAGTTGGTTATTCTGTTCTCTTTTATTTCAGTTTGTCTCCATATTCATTATTATTATTATTATTATTTCACTGATACCATCTTCTTACTTTCCATTTTCCATCCATACTACATCTTTACCCTGTGTATCTTGTGCTTCACAATGAAGCAAAAGAAAAAAAACAACTCAAAAACGTTGTAAGTAAACTATAAAATCCAAAGTTTTCTGTTTCTTTTTTTCGCTGATTATTATCGTTGTTGTGGTTATTGTTTATTATTGCGTTCAGTTCTTTATTTTTCCAAAATAAAAATCCTGTTTTTTTCGTATGTCGTTTTGTTTTGTATGCACATGTATGTAACATGTACAATCATAGGATACTGCTAACGGGATTGATAGTGTGTAGTGTTCTATGCATGCGCGTGTGCTTCCATATAAGTGTAGCAATATGTGTAGATGTGGACACAACACTATATACATGGATTATTATTATTAACATCAAATGAAAGTCATTTAAGAATCGTTACTTTTCTAGTGAACATAACGATGCGATAAAATTGCTGTAGTTACTGGCCATTAATTTTCGATTATAAAAATGTAAAATAATAAATCACAATAATTTTTAATATTTAATGTGTGATTATTAAGTAACTTGGTAATTGTTTATACGTTTGTGCATCAATTATACGCTTATAATGTACATATATTAACCATTTCTATATATAGATAAATGAAACGATATATATGTTTATCTACATAATATGTATTTGATTATTTTTGTTAATTTATAATAATATTGAAATGGTGGAGAAGATTTGTACCTCAGGTGGGTGACTTTGATGGAGTTTTGTTCTCTGCGCTGGATGGTTTGGTCGTGGAGCTTTCATTTTCCTTTTGAACGATATCATCAGCACAAACTTCGGGCAGAAGTGAAGTTTTTGAATTTCTCCACAGCTTGTCCTGTGCACCTCGATATTATATTAGACAGATTCACTATAGTTTAAATGAAAGAGATTGGTACGATACCATGTATATATCAACGAATAGATTTATTAGAATAAAAAAATTACTGAACATGACTTAATGAAAAAAATATTTAGTCAGTTGACTGCTATCACTTGATTAATGAAAAATAGTGCATATATATATATATATATATATATATATATATATATATATCGTGACAAATTAAAATTCTTAAGAGTTACAGTCTAAGTTCCCTGTGACTCAATGAAATATAAGATCTTGTTTAGTTTAACAGTTGTATTGTTCAGCACAGTTCATTCATTGTTCTCATATTAATTCACTTGGTCACATAAGTAACCTATGAAGTCAAAGGTGTGAGGTGTGCAGAAATTGTACTACACATCTGTTCTTGCGGATATTCCTTTATGGTCTTAAAACATAGCTTACTGAACTAGGAGATCTACATAGTTTACTAATAAGATTCGAATGGAGTTATCACCGAAGTAGTATTCGTTTATGGATGAAACTTTCGAATGAGTGAGTAACGCAGAATCTCAGTGCATCGTGCTAGATAAGAAAAGACAAGTTCATTGTTGAGATTAGTTGCAATCTATCTGTTCTACAAAAAGAATCATAATATATTGTTTTCTGATTTGGTTTTATTTTGTTATTTTACTAATACTGACGTCCTCTATTGAGTACCTCTCACGATTTTCATTATGTCAATATTTTATAGTTCACTTTATTGATGCAAATCTTTACTGCGTTCCGTAATAAACCAGTAGGATTATGAAACCATATAAATTCCCATTAATGTTTATTTATATAAGTATGGGCAGCCTAGTAAATACATTGTGATACAGTTATTTTATGGTTTACAGCACGATCGCTTTTTCATATAATTAATTTTAACAAATAATTAATTTATTTTATGTTCCCCAAATGCTCTGGTACGGCCGAGGGTGGGGAGAGTCCGCTCTTCCTCTCGAAATGCTCTCATGTGGCCACGCGTATATAGCCTCTGCCAGGGAAGTCCTACTCACTGCCTTCTCGTGGCATTACTGTTGTTTACGAAATCGAGAGGACGGAAAGCGAATTTCCGGCGCTTTAACCGGGTTGGTGGACACGGAAAGTTCACCTAGGGGATTTGGAAAACCCTGTTTCCGAACCAATGGTGCACATGGGCTCCAGTATCCTGAAGGAACAAATGGCGTATGAATCAATCGTTGGTCACCGTCTACCATGGGACTTCATTTCCTCATGATGCTCCACTGCCTTGTGGATCAGACCTTTAGGTCAAAGGCTCCGGATGTGGTCCCCTAAGAAAACTACCTGTTTCGGTTTGGGCACCTGTGCTGTATCACAGTCCTCACACAAATCGAATGAGATTTGTGCGGCGAATATGTATCTGGTACTTCCTTGTACCAATATTTATGTGTTTAAGTAAATATAAAACATTCGAAGCCTATTAAGTTATCATCAGTATAGGATTGTGGAGATTACTAAGTTTTTCTTTTTTTTTTTATTAAGGTTATAAACCGATTGATGTTAGACTACCAATGAAAACCTATGAGTACTGGACGGCCGTTGGTTCTTAGTAATTTATAATATACTCTTATTATCATTGTATAAATGATTACTAATTGCTTTAGAATACTAATTATCACCGTTATTTGATTATATTGTCTAATGTTTGATACACGTTTAGTCTGTTTTATTTTAAGTATTAAGTGTATAATAAGTTTATTGTATACGAATAAAAGATATTAGATTATTTAACATGATTTTATAATTAATATTAACTATAGTTAAATTGATACGATCATTTAATGATCGCTTTCAATAAATGAATTTTAATTTATTACTGTAAACTATCAATAATCTTTAATCATTTTTTTTTTAATATTGATAAATACATTTGACCTATAGTACAAGTAAGTTAAATGTACATAGTTGAGATATAATCCTTCTACTAAGAGATATAAATTTCCTACTTCCTATAAAATCGGAAAACTTTAAATTGAATTATGATTACATTTTGAATGTACACCTATTTAATACTACCTAGTTTCAGGTCACTGCTCTATAAACTATAATCAGTATAATCTTTAAATTAATACAAGTATACAAGTGAATTTATTGTTAGTTAGCATATAATCAAGGATTACTTCTTACCGAATAAATGATAGATTACGAAGATAGTTCTTATCACCTACTAACAATAACTTTAGGAGTTTTGAAAACGAGTGTTGCTTTCTAACTTACGATTCTTAAACAATAAGTACTCACAAATCCTCCATTTTATTGAACTGAGGAATCTTAGGTCTGTAGACAACCATATTACCGATATCGTAGCTTTGAACTAACTTTCACAATCAATGCAACTGAAAAAAATACAACGGATTAAACATTTGAGAGAAAAAAGGAAGAACAATTAGTAATCAATAATTGTTTACAGATGGTTGATTAAGTTGTAAAACACAAAATAAACATTTTTCTACCACTAAAAAACAATTATATTACGCTTATAAACATCATAGTAGGCTACGTTTACAGAGATATCACATATTATATTATCGGTTAAGTGCTCTGGTGCGAGACTGTTAGGTCCTGGGTTCAAATCTCGCGAGTGCGGGATCGTGAATGCGCGCTGCTGAGGAGTCCCGTAATAGGACGAAACGGTCGTCCAGTGCTTCCAGATTTTCCATGGTGGTCTAGCTTTAATTGATTCATGATTTCAACTAAGAAAATATTTTATGTACTTTATATGTAAGGGTAGAAATTAACAGTTAAGATAATAACATTGATAGTGCAGATTTTTTAAATATTACATCGATATACAATCTGATAAAGATTAAAGTTATATATTACATGAATGGATACTGTCAAAATCATTTTGAGATTGTATATTGTATTTACAAAAGACAATTCATATTTGTACGTGCATCTATGTATATGTAAAGAAAGAATTTTACGGAATCATTTTTATTGTATACACTATTTAGAATTAATTTGATCTCCGTTTTAAACAATAAATTTAGATTTTAAGAGATGATATACTTTTTTTTAATTGTGTAGTGTTTGACTGATTGTTTATTAGTTTTGATTGTTTTTGTTCATTTATAAGTTCTCGACATTCTTTTAAGATTACAATGCATTCATCAAATTAAGTGAGCTTCATTAGATCATACATTACAGTTTTCAGTTATAACACCCAAAAAACCAATTGAAAGATTATACTGCTAGGAATGTTGTCAAGTTTGCTCACTGTTGTCAATCAGTGTACTGATCCATAGATTTAATTCCATAACTAAATATTATCATTCGTGCGAAACGTTTGTGAAAAGTGTTGAGTTTCATAGTTCACATCATGATCTGACTCGAAATAGATAATTATTAAAACCTAGAAAATTCTGAATAGCTGCTATTCGTAATACGGGACTCTTCAAAAGTGCACATCTATGACCACGTACGGTATCGAACTCCATTGATAATAGGTTCTTACGAGGACTCTGGAAATTAGGTACGTGATTATCATTAGTGTAAGGTATTTATAAAGGTAGTTAAGTTTCATAGTGCATATTATTACGCCAAATAATGCTTCTTTTCTCTTTCAATCAATTTTTCAATATTCGGTTTGGAATTATTTAGATTTTGAGTTTTTTGATTGAGATCATGAATCGATCAATGTTAGACCACCACTCAAAATCTAGGAACACCGGACGGCCGTTTTGTCTTAATACGGGACTTCTCACCAGTGCACATCCTTGATCCCTCATGCGGGATTAGAACCCAGGATCTTCCGTTCCACTCGAACAACTGACTTCTAAACCTCTGAGCCATCATCCAACGGTGTTAATGTCTAAATTCGTAGACGAAATGACCGTCCAGTGCTTTCGGGTTTTCAGTGGTTGTCTAGCATTAATGGGTTCATGATTTCGGAGAAATTTTTCAATGATTAAATCGTTCTAAAAACAAATCTACAAAGGTACTAGTCTATACATAAACAAGTTTTATTACGGCTTTACTTATCAGGTGGTGTAAATTTGAAACTTGGTCGAATTTTCGTCTCAGAAAGCAGGCGGCCTGCTTGAACATCTGGGCTACCTGTTCCTGCTATCTAGATATTTCAACAAGCTATCTAACTTTGTTTGTTTTAATACATCATTAAGGTTATTAATCGCAAAACCTATTCAGGTGCTTTACAGAGGCCTGATCAGAGATATTGTGGTTGCTGGTTATATGCAGCGAAAAGAGTGTACATTATTTAGTTATCGATTGACTGAACTTCTAACTGGCGACCACTCAATATTTGTCGTCAGGACCGATTAAGAAGTAAGAAACGGAAACTTGTTGAAATACATTGTGCCGAGAATTCTATATTGTACCAAAACTTTGATATTGAATAAAGCTGATGATAATAATAAGCATGATTTACCTTTAACTATAGAATTCCGTGAATGATACTTGTAATTAGTTGCAACAAAAGCATTAAAAATTTATTTATGCTTTTGTGATTGTACACATACACTCTATAAGGTTTAAATAAAAATGAACTTTAGTCTGCATCAAATTGTTTGCCAGTCATCTGACTAAAATTTCCCCTCCTTTTTCTATTTTATTATGCATAATGTACTTGTGTTTGACTTTTGTTAAATTAGATTGTGCAATATTATTGTTCGAACTATTGCGAAATGTAAATAAATTTTTAAATCTGTGTTTAATATCAAACTAATAAATCCTAGTGTATTCATGGTTGATG